CACATTGTGTAAATTGAACAGTCTCGGTCTATTTAATCTCTCCTCATATAGAAGCTGTTCCATATTCCTAATAATTTCTGTTGCCCTTCTCTGTACCTTTTCCAATTCGAATAGATCTTTTTTGAGTTGGGGCGACCAGAACTGCACACAGTATTCAAGATGTGGGCATACAATGGACTTATATAGTGGTATTATGATATTTTCTGACTTTATTATCTATCCTTTTCCTAATAGTTCCTCACATTGTTAGCTTTTTTGATTGCTGGTGAAATACATTCCTGCAAAAGTTTATACACCATTGAAGTCCCTCTTAAACCTTTAGAACAGCCACCTTAGTTTTAAAGACATTGAGAGATGTTTCATATACTGTTAATTATGCAGTATCGGCCTATTTCTCTGGCACGTACCTGACTTAACTCACACCACATGCTGACCCCTCCATTTGCCACTTTATCAGTAAGGATGAAGTAAAGTTTGTCCACTGTAAGGCGTAGAGTGCACGTCTTGGCTAGTTTTGCAATTGTATTGATCACTCCTATGTGATAAAGTTTCAATAAATGACTTCCTAAAACTTCTAGCACAGGACAAAACAACTTTGCTTGCAAGGTTGTGGTTTGCAGTTCAGCTGGAAAGACCATTATTAAAATAGATAAATCAATGGAAAGTGGGAACCCAAAATTTCGATATTTTGTTAAATTCTGTTGTTTTGGTTTAACCCCACACCCATCATTATTTTGTTTGGAGAGACAAGGTGGGTAAGGTAGTATCTTTTGTTGGACCAACTTCTGTTGGTGAGCAAAACAATCTTTCAAGCCACACAAGAGCTCTGTGGTTCAAAAGCTTGCGTCTCTCACCCACAGAAGTCGGTCCAATAAAAGATATCACCTCTCCCACCTTGTCTCTCTAATATCCTGGGACTAAAAAGCTACAACTACACTGCACATAATTATTTTTTGTCTTGTCAGCTATTTCCTATCCTGTCTGACATCTCAACTGTGAGAAATCTGTGGTAGGAGCTATCTTCTTTATTTTTTGTCTGTATACTGCTCTGCAAGAGGACTACTTGTTTAGGGTTCATAGGTGCTACCATTACCACAAATAGTAAACAAACACATAAACAAACAAAAGTGAAAGATTACAGAGCAAAATTGTTGGAACATAGGAACAAGCCACAGACTAATGGTCTATGTTTTTTTTTAATTCTTGTTTTATTTATGTATAATTGTGCCTACATGTTACAGTGCAACATGCCCTGGAAATATCTCACATGGACAAATATTCTCAGATCTACCACTGAGCTGTTCTGGCAAGTTGTTGCAGGGCTCTGTGCCTCGGTTTCCCCATTTGTAAAATTAAGACAGTGACACCTTTCTTAGGTAATGGCTTTTAGGATACAACGTGCTATACAAGGGCCAGGTGTTAAACTGCCCTGTAAACAGGGGTTGACATTTGTCTTCTAAACCAGCCAGTTTAGTCGCTTGGGATATAAAGCACTCTATGACCAGGACAGCAGCCGCCAGGAAGATGAGGCCCATGGTTCTTGTGCTTGCAAAGCAGCCCCGGGTTCCCCTCCTCACGCGTGTCACTCTAGGGGGAGTGCATGGCTCCTTGCAGGACGGGGAGAGGCTAGGGGATCTGGCGGCACATATCACCGAGATTTGAAAACTCAGGGGGCATGAGGGTTTGTAATCTCCCTCCCACTCCATCTCCCAGCCCCCGCCACAGCTCACTCTGCCCCTTTCCCCACAGACAGGCTCCCGTCCCGTCCCCTAGGGTCCCTCCCACCCCCGCTGCTGCAGACCCGCGGCCCCCCAGCCCAGCCCGCTCACGGGTGAAGTGGTTCAGGCAGGCGACGTCCACGATCTTGGCCCGAAACCGCATGGCGGCAGCCGCCCTGAATTTGGAAGCAAAATAAACCCGCCCCAGCTCAACCTCTCCGGGAAGCCCGGCCCCAGGCAACCCAGTTCCGTTTCCCTTTCTCTTCCCCTCCCACCTCTGCTGCCTCGTATAGCGTCAGCGTGCGCCTAACCCGGTGAGAGTGTAACAAAGGGCCCGATTCGGGTGTCAGTCCGGAGTTACTCCATTGGGGGTCAATGGGGCTGAGCTGATGTGAAAGCAGTGCCAGCGCGAGCTCAGTATCAGCAGCATGGAGGGGGTGTTTCCGAGAGAGCAGATCACACACACAATGCACTACTGCATGTGCCTTGCTGCATAAAAGTGGTGATGATGTTACTTCTTTCCTTTAAAAAAATGAAGAGCTAAAGGAAATAGGGAAAAGTTGGTATCAGATATTAACAGAACAAAAAACTACTGTTGACGTCACTAGGCCTCACCCTAGGTAACTCGGGAGGGTGGAAGGCCACTAAGTGTCAATGAAGCCTTCCTGC